CCGTCCAATCTGCAAAGCATCCCTGGCTACCTGGGCCCGCGCGCAGGGCCGGGTCTTTTCCCCCCTGCCCAGGTGACCAGAGCATCGCCTCCCAGGCGCCAGCCTTTTGTCTGCAGACAAGGAGCGAGATCCCCGCTGTGGGGGATTCAACACCAGCCTCTCAGGCTGGCTGAGACAGATCTCTGGAGAGGGGCACCGACGGGGCATTTCTGCCACACGGGTCACGTAACTCCCTTTTTCAGATCCTCCTTCTTGCCTGTACACCATGTTCCTGCGTTTGTGTGGCAAAAATAGCCTTCTGGTGTAAAGCATAGATCTTGTCTTCTGCGCCATCTCTTCACCCAGCTGTTCATTCCTCCCCTTCTCTCATGCCACCATCCTACCTTCTTCTGTGCTGTCCCTGAGGCTTCTGCCCTCTGTCCCTCTGTGCCCCGCACTGCCTGATCCCACAGGCGAGACACGTAATGTAACGGCACTCGGGCGGACCTGTCCAAGTGCCAGTCCAAAGCTTTGTCTGTTCTGATTAGTCAAAAGTTAATTTCTTCTTAAAAACTAACATGCTTAAGAAGGATAACATTCTTAATCACACAAAGTGACCGGATTTATGAACATGTGATTCTCCTGTGCAGTACTCTGGAAAGAGCTGGATGTATTTTTTCCTCAAGTTGTTGTGATTCATTAGACAATTTTCCATCTGCCTGGATAAAAATAAATTACAGTAACTTGATCACTTTTTCCCTCTTTGTTTTATTATGCAATACAGCAAAGACTAAAGACCATATTCTGTTTGCCAGTTGTGTTTTCTGGAACTGTCCTGTTGCCTTCCCTACCCCTCTTCTAGATCCTCCACCTCCATCAATGAAACACTAAGGATAAAGCATATGGAAGCCTTTGATTTCCCACTCCCACCCCGCTTTTTGGCTTTCCCTTAAAGTTTGAACTTTGACTCATAAGTAAATGACCTGCTGTAAAGTCTGTGAGTAGCTAGGAAAGTATTACACTTCTGTTTGCGCATACTCTTCTCTCCCAACCTGCTGTGTAAGGTTGCAAGTCAGTTCAGCTAATAAGATCAGCAACAATATTGTGCGTGCTTGAGGAAGAAGTCACTACTTCAGTTAATTTGAATTGAATTAGGAGCAACGTAAAGAGAATGCCGTTAAGTCATCTACATTTGCACGATGCTTCAAAGACACCTTAAACCTAGTGGATCGCATTTCATTGAACAAGATAATTGCGGTCTCTGAAACAACTTTGGGCTCAGAGAAAACTGCTGTACCTCACTCTTGGATGGGCAGAAAGTGTCTCAGGAACGTGTTCTCTTTCCTCGGACAAGAAGCTGTGGTGATTAATTAAGGACCAGAAAATGCAGCTGTTTAGCAGGTTTCATTACGTTTGGGAGCTGGTAAGTTTGCGCAAGGAAATAAAACCTGTATTTGTTTTTCCTTAATTTTTGGAAGAAAAATGCTAGTTCAACAAATGTTAGAGGTGCCTGAAAGACTATAGCAGGGTAAAAATTCCATGAAAATTCTTTGTAGCACACTTACTTGCTAAGATATCTGTGTGCGTGTGTTCTTTTACCCTGCTCTATAGATCTATAGATTTAGTGTAAGTATTCTTTATAGTAAAATGGTATTTTTGAAATGTGCAATATTATATTAAATCTCAGCAATATTCATCTTCTGAGTTGGAGAAGAGACAGCAAAATACGAAGGGTACGAAGTGCTGGGGAAGAAAGAAAAGAATGCCACATGGCTGAATTTGGGGTTTTACAAGCTTTGAGTTCTGAACCCTTTGTTCTAGGTCTGTTGATAAGCCCATATGAAACACTATTGCTAAAGTTTAGAGAAGATGTTTTTACTTTTACTGTAAGTGCTTACTGTCATATTCACAGCTGTTACCCTGGATGACTATTTTGAGCGTAGTATTTAACCTATTAAATTGTGAAGAGCTGAGAGAAATATTCTGCATGCCCCTTTACTGAATAGTTTACTACCCAAGTCCAAGCTTATGTGGCCTTGATATTTGTATCCATTCATAAAAGGCCTGTATGAACTGTGCTAATTGTCCTGTTGCTCTATGATTGATCCTTTGTTATATTATCTTGGGTTTCTTGAAATCATAGGGCAGAATGGCATTCCCTTTGGAGGCCTGTGTTAATCAGTAGCAGCAATCATGTGGTCCGACTCCTTTTTTCTATCTTTTATCACATATACCCACACACAGTTTTTGTATCTGTTTAACTGTTTTTGTTAGGTGTTCATTATTTTAACTGTAAAACAGCTAAAGCAGTTCAGCACCCTAGCCTGGGTACAGTTGTGCTGTTATAAAGATGCCTCATGCTGCCATAACTTTCTCCTCTAAATACCTGAGAATAAGGTATACTACTCTAAGCACATTTATACTGAAGCCTGTACTTTTATACTGAAATAACTTGTGTCCAGCAGATTAGGGGTTGTTTGGCTTTGCCTATACTAGATTCATCTTGGAAGACAGCAGGACAGGATGGTGTCTTAGAGACTAATTTGTTCAGAAATTCATGGGCTTCTGTAGGCCTTCTGCCTAACTTTTAGATTAACACAGCTACCTACCTGTCTCTGCTTGGTTTCAAACTGGTAATATTAAAATAGTACAGAAACTATATAGGTAGACAAGCTTCTGCAGACCAGAGGTTTAAAGACTAGTCCCTCTCTGTTACATGACTGTAAATGACAACTACTAAAAACTAGCATGGTCTGAATTCTTCACTTCCCACGAGAAGTATCTGTGCAAGTTTGTCACTCTTGCCTTCCTTCATTAGTGACTGACTGAACTTAAGTCATCTTGATTACAAACCCTTATTTTCAGTGCCTAATGCGTTCTGCCCCAGGTAAGGACAAAAAGATATTGCTAGTCAGCTTTTGTCCCATAGCTAATTTAAAGGAAAAAAAGAAGAAAAAAGACCAGCAGTCTTAAGCAACTGAATGTCTTGTCCCTTGAGCCCTGTGCATCTGAAATCGCACTGTTTGAACACGTGAATACACCCCGGTAGAAGGCAACCCATCGTGCACAAGGAATGTCCGGGAGCCCATAGGAAGATTTCAACTGCTTGCCAAAGAAATGGGTATACATAGCTCCTGGAAGATTAGGACCAGCAAACTATCACCTGCATGCTACTGAGTAATCATCAGTGCCTCCTTCGTGCAAGTGACTGTACCAGCCTTCCTAAAAACCCCAACAGAGATGTAGAAAGCTTTCTGTTGGCCTGCCTTCATCCTCCCATTCTCAGGCAAAATTAATGAGAAAAGTGACAGCCCAGCTTCAGCATCATATTTGTACCATCCTGGGTGCTTTGCAGCTGACTTCAGACCAAGATGCAGCATGTGAACAGCACTAGGACATTAAAGAGGCTGTCTTTTATGGCGGTGGATGGAGGCTACGCTTCACTGTGTTGACTGATTGTTTAACTCCAGCTCTGACTTTGGACACAGCTGGCGTGTTTTGATGGCAGAGATGGAGGGAGCTCAGCTCTGCATTGGCTCCCAGCATTCCTCTCGCAGGATGGAAGAAAGTGGACAACTTTTCTTTCCTTCTGACTGCCACAACACTCCCTGTGGATCTGAGAGTCCCTCATTTAGTGTCTGTACAAGATATCGGGCATGGTGAAGCAGCAGGTTCCCTACCACCAGTGAGGTGGTGGCACTTGCATATTCCTCTCTTTCCAGAAGGGTAACCAGTGCCTGCGTACACATGTCCTGTCTGCAGGCAGTCAGCTCCTAGGTGGAGATCAGGTAGTTTATGGCGGGTCAGAAGGGCTGGCAGTCAAGCTTGGGTTAGGGTTAAGCTTATAACAGATTTATAATTGTCAATGCACAGAATCTAATTATTGGGGAGAGAGTCTTAACTTGGAAGTTGTCTTAGATTTGGGTAAATATGGTGATTATCATTCTTTGCTCACGTGGCTGGAGTTCTGACTGGTAAAATGCCATCTCTCTGTTTAATTGTGTACAGCTGTTGCATTTTGTGAAATAGAAGGGACTTAAGTAAGACGTTTCCTGAAAATTCATTTTCTTAATGTAGTGTGTGGGCCTTATAGTCCTAAAACAGTCAGTAAATATTGCATGCAAGGTGCTGTTATGAGGTCCCTGCACACATTTGAAATGATTGTTGTCAGTGTTTGAGCTGCATTTGAAACTTGCATCTTTTTTTAACACTAGGATTTCTCCAGTGATGACACTAAGCTAGAATACAATGTAGATGCAGCCAATGGCATTGTTATGGAGGGATATCTCTTTAAGCGAGCCAGCAATGCCTTCAAGACTTGGAACAGGTAATACTTCAAATGCTCTGTTAATTATGGTTTGTAACCATGCTGGTTATTGGCTTGAATGTAGCTTGGACTTCTAACTTTGCAAATTCATCCCAAAAGGCAACTCTGTGGAATTGATAAGCTGACAGAGTGGTTGGCCTGTTAAGTTGATCACCAGGGATTCTGGCTTTCTCTGCTAAAAAATTACAAATTCTCTGATAAAATCACAAATGTAAAACCCAGATCCGTTAATCACAGAAACTGCCCTCAGTCTGAAGAAATTTCTTCTCGTTTTCTTCCCTACTTGTTCACAAGCACTTTACCTGGAGTAGTTGCCATATTGTACCCTTGGCCTTCACCATCAGACTCTGAAGCAGTATAGCTCCTGATTTTAGCTACCTGCAGGGGGGTTGCAAAGAGGATGGAGCTGGACTGGTCTCAGTGGGGGCAGATGAGAGAACAAGGAGCAATGGGCTCAAGTTGCAGCAAGGGAACTTGAGGTTGGATATCAGGAAAAACTCTCACCAGGAGAGTAGTAAGGCACTGGAAGAGGTTACCCAGAGAGGTTGTGGACTCTCCATCCTCAAAGGTTTTGAAGACCTGGCTAGACAAAGCCTTGGCTGGGATGATGTAGTTGGGGCTGGTCCTACTTTGAGCAGGGGGCTGGACTGGATGTGGCCTCCAGAGCTCCCTTCCAATCCTCATTGTCTATGACTGTATAAAGTGCATTGTTTATAAATTTAAACATGGAGGAAATAAAGGGTTTAAAGACTGGCAGCTTGTGGAAAATGTACAGTGAATGGTAGAAATATAGTGAGGGACTAAGAGTTGGAACCTTTTCCTCCTATAAAATACACATGCAGTCCTGCTGCAGACTGAATCCCATAGACTGTCTCTCGGTGCCTGTGATGATCCTGGAAGGGGTTTGGACTTGTACGTTACTGCACAGGGTGTGCATTAGTTGTTCACGGTTACAGCTCTCAGCACTTGGCACGCTTTAATTATGCTTTCAGGGGACTGCATGTTTGGAAGGCAATGGTGGAAATGCCAACACGTTCCAAACGACTGAATGCAGCAGCCCAGTTTGAAATCAGTTGTGTGACAGTTCGATGCTGCTCTTTGCTATGTTACATGCCACTAGCTTTGCAGTAGTGCTTATATTGGCCAACAGTTTCCATACTCTTTAGAGGGGCCGCTGTCACCCCTCAATTACCTGTTATGATTAAACTTTTAATTGACAACACTGTCAAGGTGCCTGGTCCAATCCAGGGACTAAGTGGACTACCAGTGATGTGTAGACCAGTTTTGGTGAGCGCTGTATTAAACTGTCTGCATGCTGTCACACATTTTGTCACCAGAGGTATATCTGAGTGTGATGTGGGAACCTGTATGCTTTGGTATCGTGAGCTTCAGTTATGGAATAGCAAACTTCCTAGCAATGAAGAGTAGTTTCAGATCACTAACTAACATTTTTTAAATTAAAGACATGAAGACCACGAAAAAGGGTTGCTGGCCGGCCATTCTCAGTGAGGGCCCAGCATAAGTTAGCCCAAGCCTGATTCTGAGTGTTTCTTTCCAGAGGTGATAAAGGGTGAAAAATCCCATTTTTTGTTCATCGCTTCAGTTTACTGGATGTCTGAGCCAAACTTGATTACTGTTTGGCCCATTTTATAGAGGGAGTCAGAAATCTGGGAAATGTGTTTTGGCCATTATATTGATCTAAAGCTATAAATACATCACGCAGTGAAGCAGATTAACTGCATAGGGGATATGTCCCAGCACAACAGGTCCGCTTCATTGGGTAAAACAGAAGTTATCCATTTTTCCCGATCCTGCGGGACAGCACTTGGGCGTGCCTTTGCCAATGGGGGAGCACCGAGTTTGCCTGCCTGCAGAGACATGTCCCAAGTCGGACTGACCAGGTGCTTCTGTAGGCAGAGAAACCTGGACTTTCCCCGTTTGCAGAGGCATGCCCTGATGTGGGGCATAGCAACACAATATGCACCCCTGAGGAATCCCCTGCCAGGAGACTTCTCGGTCGTGCCTCTGTAAATGGTAGAGCCTGGGCAGGTGTCCCCAGGGCTTCAGGGGCCGGAGCCTATATGCCTTTGGAATGGGAATTCCCTGGGTGCGCAGGATTTAGACCCCTGAAACTCCAGAGTACCTGCTTGGGATGGCTGGAGACCACGGGCTGCCCACGCTCTCCTGCCACAAAGCAAACAGAAAATCTGTTGCAAAAAAGTGGCACAGATTTATACTACCTGAGTCACAGCCACATGTTTTGGGTATTTGTGGCACATCAAGGGGGATGGACGTCTGTTTCCAGCCTAAGAGTAATTGTCAGGGCTTATTGAGTCCTCTGTTATAGGTAAGTTTTTAATATTGTTCAAGTCTAACTATGCATAACTGTCTGTTAAGTCTCTGTTGATTTAGTGCAGCTGGTCCTGCATTTATGAGAGCAGTGCTGTGACAGTAGCCCTGCTAGTGTAACACAGTGGCTTTTCCTCTCTGGACTCCTCTTGCACACTGAGCTGGGTCTGGCCTGATCTAGTGTTAGGGAGCAGTGAATGGCACCACCAGACAGCAACCTGGTGTGATTCCCCAGAGCGACCTTTTGTAGTCTGGAGCAGAAGGGTGGTAAATGCACGGCTGGCAACTCCACGCTTCAGAGCTCTGTTAAGTTGAAGCATATTAGTTTGAAAGAACTGGTGCTCTAGAGCAGGGGTGGCCAGCCTGTGGCATGCATACCACGAGTGGGACACGGCAGATCAGAGAGGGGACAAGTAACACTCGCAGATTAGGGCAGGAAGCAGAGCAGCAGAATAGGTAGAAGGGGTCAGAGTGGCGCTCGGGGAGGACGCACGGCTAATTTGTGACACTTGCTGAAAAGGTTGGCCCCTGCTGCTCTAGAGCACGCGTGCTTTTCTTCCCCACAGTGGAGGCTGTGTTGAAACCATGAAGCAAGGAGTGTGGTTTGCCTTCTGTGTCACAAGTAGAGAGCATGAGATCATTTGGATGCCTCACCTGGGTGCTTGGGACCTGACTCAACCTGTTGGTGTCACTAGGAAGGTTTCTTGTTGACTGCACCGGGCCTTGGATCAGGCTGTTGTTGAGAGGTGTTTATAGTGAGTAATGCAGCTGCCTGGCAAATCGTGAGGCCAAAGCTTTTGTTCCCTCTTTGCTTGAATCCTCTTCCTTGATTCTCATAAAGTCTTGACTCTGAGCAGGACACACAAGGCAGATGGAGGGCAGTTATATGGCGTTGTGAGAGAGATCCTCCGTGCCTCTTGGTCTCAGGGCTGTGAACACCAGGTGCACAATGTATTGTGTTCATTTATATAACGTATGAATATGGGAAGTGTAATTGAAGTCTGATGAATGTATTAGACTGACAGCACAAAATAGATGCAGAGAAACCACATTAATAATGTGCTTCATTATACTTGTCTTGTTTTATTTATTACTCATAAATACTGCACAAACAGGTTACTAAATGAATCATGAAATCTGCAGGGTGACATCACTGCCTTCTAACTTTACATTATTATTTGCCTCTCATTTATTTCTCCCTTACTTACATTTTGTCAGGTTTTATATTTTTACATGCGTGTTTTAGAGCTGTGCCTCTGACCATTTTGTTTTAGGCTGTTCCAAGGAGCTAAAATACTGCATTTTCAGTAGAACGCATGCTACATGTGAGAGTTGTGTACATGTGATGCTGATTGACTTTAGCAGTAACAGGAGCTGAAACGGAATATGTTTATAATGGAAAGTTTTAGTAAGAGTGCAGACAACCAACATGATAACTATGCAGTAGCCTGCTCTGGATTTGACTCTAGCAGCATCTCTGGATTAGTTAATCAGGGAGCTTGTTTGCATTGAGCAAGTAGCTACACTAGGATGACACTGATTAGGGAGCGGACATGTGACGGATTCTGCGTAGTCACTACTCCACGTAGTAAAGTCATCGCATGTTTTTCAAGGAGTGACTTGAACCCGGGCTTGAATTATGCACTATGTAGTCAGGCTACGTGTTATGTGTGCATCAGGTCTCTGTTGCACTTCTGCTGTATAACAACATCCTTTTACTATGTAGGAAATGTCATGTGTCCACACCCAGACCTGACTTACAAGATGCTTCTAAAATGGGTCAGGAAGTCAAACCATTCCTCTTGTTAGTGGGAAGCCTTACATGGACAATTACTCTTGTTTCTGGAAATACAGATTTGTTTAAATCCCACTTCTCCTTCATTGATAATGTGTGCACGCGAATGAAATGTGTGTATGTGGAAAACAAAACTCTTGGGAAATTAGTTATATATCCTGAGAATTTTTTTTAAGTTGCGTGCTTTAAGCCTTATTCTTTAATTCTGCTGTATTTTCATATCATGCTAATTCTTTGCTTATTTTGCTCATTTTGCAATTTCATTCCTTTTCCTCCTTTCCCTTATGTTTTAATCCTACCCCATTTTTTCACATGACAGGAAAAAGCCAGATCACATCAGGTACCAACCAGCTTCTTTTATATTTTCCTGATGTTTCTTTGGCACGTAAAAGCTCTCCATTAACCCTGCATTTCATTTTGATTACTTGCAATGGATATCAAGCGTCTTAATCTGAGAGAGCAGGAGGATTCTGCATGGGATGACAGCACAGCTGCTGTTCAGTGCCTTCCTTTTAACTGCTACAAATGATTGATGCATTCATTCATAATCCCAGAGAAGTAAAAAATAAACCTTAAATTTAGTCTCCGCTTTCAGAATTTCCTAGAGTAGATACTAAGCACGTTATCTTGTTCTCATTTAAACCCTGGTAAATCATGCCACTGATTTGAATGGGATTGGGAGCAGAACATCAAATGCTGATGTCTCTTGATCATTCTGTTTTGTTCACCTCTGAAACTACATGATTCAGTTTGCATAATCAGCAAACAAGCCAGCAAACAAAATGCTTCCCTTTTTTTGAAAAGCTATAAAGCTAATAGACATTTATTGAATCATGTTGAGTTTCCTTTTCTTGTTGCTATCCTTTTAGATCATGGAACCTTGAAAAGACTCTTCAGTCATTTATATTCTTTTCTATTTGGCATATACTGACTTTTTTCCTGCCCCCCACTCCTCCTTCCCAATTCTTTTTTGGATAAGATAAAGAGGCACTAGCTATATTAGAAACTCTGGATGATATAGAAGTCTTTGTCTAAAAGTCTGCTTTGTGCACCAGTACAGCATTAGTTAAGTGCTATCATAGAGCCAACAGGAGTGGCACAGTTGACTTTACGACCCCATCAAATACAGACGTTTCTCTCTTCTGATGATAAATTATTTATTTAAGTGCATTCCTGGTAATACTTGGCCATGACAGCAAAGTTGTCCCCAACCCACTTATGGAGCTTAATCCTAAGAACATAGCAAGTTTCATCCCAATAATATAGGAACTGAGGAACAAAGTGCTGGACCTTCAAGGACTTATCTTAGCCCATTCTTGCAAAGCAAATGAGTTTCCTAGTCAGATTTGATCAGTTTACAATAGGTGATGAAATCTCAATCATCAAAATCACTATAGTACGTCTACCAGTGGTTTTAATCCATTGCAACATTTAGGTGGCAGTTTTGTTTAAACGCATATAATAATAATATGTTCACACACATTTGTCTTGGATTTGTAGTTAATGTACAGTCAGATTAACGAGTGTGAACTGCAGGCTATACTAAATAAAGCATGACGTTTTCAGCAAATGTTGCTCCTTGTCTTTTTTAAAATCTTAAACTAATAGGTTTCTTTAAATAGATCAGTTCTTTACCAAAAGAAGTCATGGAGCAATATGAAAAACCTCATGGCAAAGATGTCAGATGTGCCATGAATTTGTTGTACATTATAGATGCTTTATGCTTGCCAGGTTGGAGTTCGCTCCCTGTAGTGACTCCCTAAATATTTAACTGTGCAACAATGGAGTGTGTTGGATTAATAGAACATCACACCTTTTATTTAATGGTTATTACTAGAAGTTTGCTCCATTGCATGTTATCTCTTGTGGCAGGGCTGCATTTTTCCTTTTGTCTTTGGGGCTGCTTTCCTTGTCTGTAACTAGCATATGTATAACAGCAAAGAATAAGCCTGGTTTTATCTTTCTTTTCCAGCCTGCTTTGTAGCTCAACTACTGATTTATTTCCTAGAAATAATCTACACTATGCTCGATTAATACATTCCTTCTAGATGGTAAAGGTGATACCTTTTAAATGCTGTGACCAAAACTAAGCTGTAGTTAACAAGTGCTTGGGAAAAAATGTGGTAAAGGCCTTTCCATGTTGGATCCAATTTTCTGAATCCACATTTAGAATGATATTTTATTGTGCTGGAGACCCTGTTTTAGTGGCAATCCTCTTCTAAAATGAAGTATAATTCCACAATGTTTGGAAATACAATTATTAAAAGGTAGAATCTCATCTGACTACCAACTAAGTACTAACTGTTTTAACTTATACTAAACTTTCTGATACGGTCCTGAATTTTCTTTTGTTAAGTCTTGTTTTCCTCTTTGTGTGCTTCCTTTCACGAAGGGCTTGTGGTGATTGATTACCTGGGGTGTTTTGTTGCTAGTTCTTGTGCGCTGCAATTCAATATTAATATTATGGATAACATAAACTTACTATTTTGAGGAGTCTCTTACCCAGCAATGCCCTCATGCAAACTGACAGCACAAAGTAATGATGTTCTCTATGCCCTGTGTTTGTGGTAACAGCCGTAATATGACATTATAAGCCACAGGCGTGTATTAACATACAGAAGTGTTCAACAGCCTTGAGTCAGAACTCCAAAAAACCCCAGTGTGATTGGCATTTTGGGGGTCTGTTTCCTTCCCTCCCTCACTGTTTTCCAGTCCACAGTGTGCATTCACTTCACTTTTTTTTTTTTTTTTTTTTTTTACTGCAAATTTGAGTGTTAGGAACATGTCTTAAAAGAAATGAACCTGGGGTGCTCATGCAGCCTCTTGATTTCAGCATCTGGGCCTTTAAGAAACAACAAATACTGGAAGACTTGCAATTAGAAATTGCAAGAAGTATTGACACTGCTGTCGTTTTAGCACCCTAATAAGTTAATTTCTAAAACCTCTCTTGAAAGTATTTATGAATGAGGAGTCCAGGTACAAAGTAGTGTTAAATACCCATTTCCGACTTTTAACTTGCCATGAAAATGTAGAAATTATGTTCTTTGGAATTAAAACATTTTGTAGTGAATAGTTTACTAATATGGTGATAACATGAATGCATTTATTTAAGACTCCAATTATTTAAAATTTGCTCTCTTTCTTCTGTTGTGTGTTTTCTCTTACATTTTCACTTTTTCAATGAAAGCAACTTACATATCCTTGTGCAAACTTGTCAAAACTTACCAAAGCATAACTTTTTTGTGAATCTCTTTTTTGTAATGTATTGCCATAGATTATGTGTTAGTACACTATGATCAGTAAGCACTGTAAAATCCGTGACATTTTGTTTGGATGTCTTTTTATTTAAATAGGCGCTGGTTCTCAATACAAAATAATCAGCTTGTGTACCAGAAAAAATTCAAGGTAAGTACTGTACTTCCATTAATAAAAAGGGCATCAGTGGGAATTAGGGGGGGCTGTTTGCTAGAGCAGGGGAACGAGGACTGAGAGGTGCTGCCGCTGAGCTGCCGAGTGACCGAGCAACCCACTTGCTTCCCAGCCTCAGTTCCCCCATATGTACTGGGGACGAGACCTGTTTTTGCAAACTCTTTGAGATTCCTGTATGACAGGTAACTCGTAAGTTTATTATTTTTGCTGATCCTGGTAACACCTCATAGCTAGGGGCACATCTCAAATGAGCCCACAGTGGCTGGAAATTCACGTTTCCCTGAAAGCAGAGAGCAGGTTGCTTTGAAATTTCATACAGGATTAGGTTTTGTTCCCTTTAAATTTCCTTTGCATTTTTTTTTCTGAGTTCTCTTGAAAATTGTAATAAGAAGTCTTTGAATTTGGAACTTAATCAAAATACACCATTTTAGAATTGTTGCCTGATACTCCTTTAAAAATATTGTCTCTTGATAAAACTTGGCAGTGGTGTGGCTTCTGGGAAAGTCTTAATCCTGAACGTTTAAGCTGTGCACAAAAACCTGATTGCTTTGGGGCCGGGAGCAAGTAAGTCTGACTGGCTGGTGGGTCATAAGGGCAGGTGAACATAACATCCTCTGTCGAGTGTTCGACTCCTAACATTTTATCCTTTGACGGGAGGCATATGAGAGCTTGTGCTTAGCTACTGGCACGTGCCCTGCTGTCAACTGATAATTAGGGCTGTATGAAGCTTCGGTCCCTGATTCGGCGGAGATTTGGCCCGATTCAGTGGCTGAATCTCTGAATCTGAATAGAACCAGAGGACCCTTTAATCTCTCCAAATCAGATCAGAAAGATTCGAAGATTTGGTCGTAGGGGCTTGTGAACGCTGCGATGCTGGGGCACGTGGAGGGCTCCCCTGCACTCCTGTGGGACGCTCCATGTGCCCCAGCATCGCAGCAATCGCGAGCCATGCCTGCTACCTCAAGGTATGTAGAAAAGACTTCTAAGCTGTGTCTGTCCAAATCGCTGATTCTCCTAATTGGCATTGAATCTTCAGGTTCGGATTCGGCCAAATCGAATCGGGAGCAGCGATCCAAATCAATTCATCAAATCACTGTCCCTGATTCGGGCCGAATCCGAATCGAATAGGGCCCGCTTTGCACACCCCTACTGATAATACATCCCATGCTACTCTGTGACTAGCTGCGTTACACCCTGAAGGTCTCCCTGTCCACACGTGCTGATGCCCCCCTCAGACTTAACATTGAAAAGAACCTCGAGAGTGAGTGTACAAAAGCTCTGTTGTAAAGCAGTTCAGGCTGCTGCATAAAGCATGCCTGACAAACCCACAGGGCCAAGGCCCACAGCAATACGTAGCTCATCTCTTCCATGCTCAGAAATACCCCAAGTTCCTTTTGCAGCAGGACAGGCACTGCAGCTTTAGCTCTGTTTCGGGCTGGGGAGACCAGCCTTCCTTCATTCCCTTTGACAACCCCTTGGCAAGCATGCTGTTAGCCAACAGCTCAGTCCCAGGACCACCAGGTGGGGATTAAACGGTAAAAGACCGTCTAGAGAAGGGCAGAGTGACCCTGAGGAGTGTAGCAATTCGGCGACACGTTCAGTGTCTCATCTCGTCTCTGGCAGGGGCAAGCCCACGGGGTTTTAGCGTGTGGTCTGATAATGGTGAGGTGCGTGCTTGTAGCTGGGAGAGGAGAGGGTATCAATCTTTATGGGATTTGACTTTTGTAGGTCTGTCTTCATTATAGTGGGGTGTGTATATTTGTACGTGACAATGCCAACGGCATCATCACAGCTTTTTGTGCACTAATTTGTCCTGAACAGTCTTATGACAAATCCGCTTTTTGAAAACGTCGTAACCTAGGGTGGGCTTTTTATAGACCAAATTTATTAAAACTTTCTTAAGCCAACCTCTGAATTGCATTTGGGATGAAGTGAGGGCCTTTTAAATGGCAAGCTCTGGCTTTGCATTGCAAGCTAATCCCATATCTTCCTAGAAAACCCAGTGGGACTCATTTGAGAACTATGCTGCTTAGCTGATCAACAGCTAAAATCGAATCAATTCTATTCAAGTGAAAAGGGTATTCTCTGAGGCCAGCATTACATTTCTGTGCACATTAATATTTAACTATGTACGTCCACCAGCACTATCAGATGTCCATTTACAATCCTGTAGTTTAGATTAGGTTTTAAGCCCTTGGAACAAATCTTGTATGAAATAATAAATAAGTAAATAAATCCGTTGAGACTAGCAGAAACTGATCTTCTCCCCCCCCATGCTCTAAAACCTGGACTTGTTTTATTCACTCTCTTTCCAGGATAATCCTACAGTAGTTGTTGAAGACCTGCGGCTTTGCACCGTTAAGCACTGTGAAGACATAGAAAGACGTTTCTGTTTTGAGGTGGTCTCCCCAACGAAGTAAGAAGTAGTCTTCAAATCTCTTACGTTACTGTTGCAGCCTCGAAAGACGAGAGGCCTGCATCTCTTGGGAGCCGTTGCAGTAGGAAAGGACCTAAACAGCTTGATTCGTTAAGATCTGAGAGCAGGAGCGTGCTATGCTGCAAGCTACTGCAGCTGAGCATTCGGTGGGCTGCCGACGTAAATGTGCCTCTTAATGCTTCTGTGGTAACAGCCGACGGGCAGGAGCTGTTACGGGTTGTGTGCAGTCTGACTGTACTGGCTTGCTCGTTGCAGGACAGGACTTGGCTCCCCACTTCTGCATGGTGGGAATAAAGCACAACTTAGCCTGCAGTGTTAAATTACATTTCCAGTGACGCTGAATAAAAGGAAAATATTGCATTAAAAATATCAGGACTTTCTCAAGCTGCATGTTGTGGTATGATGTATTGCCTGGCACATCTTCAGAGGCAAGTTAACTGCCTGAACAACAACAGGTCATTTCATTCCCAATTAGTGTTTTGTGGAATAGGTCAGCTGCTTGGAGCAGTGGGTGCTGATGTGTATTCATTGACATGTGCTATACTACTTTTTCTTTTTTTCTCTGATAATTTGTTTGCGTTTTACTTCCTTGTATCGTTTGCCCTGTGCCCCAATTCCACCCTTCTTTGGCTTCTTCTTTCCTGCACTTTCTTAGCCCTTACGTATTACAAGTTTCATGTTTGGTGACTTATTTTCTCTGAGTGTACTAGCATGGGCAGCAGTTTTTATCACTTTTTAAAATCTTCAAAGTCACCTTCATTGGAACACAATTATTTCTTTGGCAGAACTGTAATCTCTCCTCCAAGGCTGATGTCTTGCTCTATTTAGGAGGTCATACACGCGAGTGGGAGGCGAGGGGGCAAAGCTAGAACTTCAGATTAAACTGGCCTGTGGCTTCATGGAGTCTCATACCCATTGGTCATCATTTAGGTTTAAATGGTTTTGAGGCAGGGAATATCTTCATTCTGTTCTTGTGAAAGGCAGTCCACATTGTTAGCCGTCAGTGTGCAGTTTTAGCACTCTCCCGAATAACATTTATGGAATGATGCGTTAAGGTTGATAAGTAGGTATTTGCTCAAGAGTTTTTGATTTTGAATAAGTGAGTCTGTCCTTTACTCTGGTCCTGTTGGTCAGTTTGTCTGAATCTCAAAGTTTACTTCTCCTTTGTTGTAGAAGCTGCATGCTCCAGGCTGACTCTGAAAAGCTGCGGCAAGCATGGATTAAGGCTGTTCAGACCAGTATTGCTACAGCGTATAGAGAGAAAGGAGATGAATCCGAGGTAAGTAAATTACTGGGCTCTGAAAGGAAAATATTAATAGAATTAATCACTTCTTAAACTTTTTTTAACAACTTTTAAGCACTGGGATGAATTGCAGTGATTTTCATTTTTTTTAAGACTTCCATTGAATGGACTTTCCATCTAGCTATGGCTGTTTTGAATCATTGCTTTTTTTTTTTTTTGTAGCTGTGATTGAAGTGTCCAGCATAGCTGGCTATGGCTGTGTCCCGACCCCAGATCTCTCCTGAAATCTAAAGCACTTTTTGCCAATACTTGGCTTTCACAGGGCAATGCGTGTAGTAGTAAAGCTTCCCTTCATACTTCTGGGAGTTTCCCCTAGGGCCACGGCAAGGTCAACCACTCTGCCTCTAATCATTCATTTTTTGTCTTTTTTCCAGAAACAAGAGAAGAAATGTTTCCCTTCTGCCGGGAGCCTAGAGCCTGGCAGTGAGTCTAAGGAGAAGCTGTTAAAAGGAGAGAGTGCTCTGCAGCGGGTACAGTGTATTGCTGGCAATGCCTCCTGCTGCGACTGCGGCCTGGCTGACCCGCGCTGGGCCAGCATCAACCTAGGAATCACGCTGTGCATCGAGTGTTCAGGGATACACAGGTAGGTAAACACAGGTCACTTTGTGCAGTGCCCTGAGCTGTGCTTCTGCCTCCTGCATTTGCACAGAGGAAAGGTAAGAAATCCTACAAGTAGACACAGCTTGATCTGCAGGAAATAGTTAGCCTGCCTACAGTATAATAGTGTGTATAATAATGTATTCAAATATGGTTACTTTTTCTGTCTAGGAGTCTAGGAGTCCACTTTTCAAAAGTTAGATCGTTAACACTGGATACATGGGAGCCAGAGCTTCTAAAGGTACGGTAATCCTTTGAGAGTAGCTTTAAGTGGTGGTGATGGTTTCCAGCAGATTGAAATAGCTGTTTTACTGTTTGCTGCCATAGAACTAATGCTTGGTGGAGTTTATTGGGCCACAAAGTCTGTCTAGCCCCAGAAAGCAGAACATGATTAACATCTTAATCTTCTGTTCACATCATTTTTTTTACTTAACCACATGAAAGCTAATGAAGTTTTAGAATTACCAACTATAAAGCACAGTAAGTTTTAAAAGGGAATTCTAAGACCTCCAATAGTACAGGATATTAATTTGTAATTTCACTGTTTCTCAAGGCAGTATTTACTGTAGTTGCTTCAGCATTTTTGTGAAGGCATTAATAAGAAATGTGATTTTATAAAATTCTTTAGCTCATGGCACGATGTGAATATAAGCAAATGCTATTATAGATTTGCACAGTTGGGCCGGTGGTGCAAAGCCTTTGCTTCTGCCTGGGGTGGTTTAAAAAATATTGGGCATTCGGAATAAACCCCGTAAAAGTGGCCTTGCAGATGTGGGGTACGGATTTCATATTTCCATCTCGATGATCTTCATATCGAGCACGATCTGCGAGTCGAGCTAAGTTTTCCCTTCCAGCCATGCCATCAGCAGCATTGCAAGTTCTGCAGGCTGCATGCTTTTTGTAGGGGTGTCTGTGCAGCCCTCTTGCTCTCCGTGGTTTTGCACAGAACAAAATCTGCTGGGGATGCAGGAGATTAAACTGATGGAACGGAGCTCAAGGCACAGTACCCCTGCTACGTGCGGTGGGAGTTTTGTTAATAAATTCATACCACTGAAAGATCCTGTGAGATGAAAAAGACCATGCTGAAGTATTAGCTATCCATCTGGGCATGACGTCTCTCTTACACTTGTACTTTAATTTTGTTTGTTTGCCTTGTAGCTTATGTGTGAATTAGGGAACGATGTTATAAATAGAATATATGAAGCAAAAGTGGAAAAAATGGGAGTAAAGAAGCCACAATCTTCAAGCCAAAGGTAGTGATTTTAGTTTGGTTTTATTTATTTCCTCTTAAATGGAGTTGTAAATGCATTGTTATGCAATACAAACAGAACTGAAATCTGCCTTTTCCTACTGCTTTGTTCCTGTCTGGTATCACTGGTCTTTGTTCAACACTCAATGGCTTTCAGGTTTCCTGAAGTCACCTGGTAGATCAACCTATTCCTCTGCTCTGCCATGTTGTATCTCTTAGTGTTTCCCAGGACAAGGATGTAAAAGCCTCTTCTCAATAACTTGTTTTACCAGGAAGGTCTGATAGCTAACGTGGTCCATCCTAGCTGGTTGTGGTGGGGGAGGCTAACGGTTCTGCTGGTCCTTGGTACTCTGCTGTTGTACAAGCTCCTTCACCCTGTTCAGCTCCTTCCCTGCTTCTCCCTCGTCTCCCCCCAGCTCCCTCCTCTCGCCAAAAACTCACATTGCCCTTCTCTCCCCCCTCAGCCTTCCTTCCCTGCCTTTTCCTGCTCTCCCACTGCTGCATGTGCACCTCCTTGCTGTCAGCATTGTCACTTCCCACCATAACTGCTACCTCCCGCTTAGCTGTATTGCATCTGCTGCCCCGTCCCAACGTCCATCCACTCATTCTTGTCTGGAGCCCTCATTCCAACTCCAGCGAAGTCACCGCTTACCTTGTCCCTCAGCTCCTTGCTGAAAGGCAGTTGGTCCTTTGGGCTCAGTTTGTGTGAATTCCCTTGCTTCTTCCCTCTGCCATGTGAAGATAGGATTGCCATGAGCCGCCACCTCCACTTTCTCTTTGGCTGCCTGTTCTGTGTAGAGTCTCTTTGCCCATTCCAGATACTGTCTTGTGCTGTCCTTCTACTTATACTTCTCTGACAGTGAAGTCCTAGACCTCCCTTCTCTCTCAGGGATTTTAGCTTCTGTGCTAATGGTGGTCTGACTCCAGCTCTGCTGCACACCTCCATTGGCTATGATCTCTGCCTCTCCGTCCATCAACTTAATCTTCACCAAACACTGCTGTTCCCAAGTTCTGTTCTTCAGGATCCCCTCTTGGATCGCTGCTGTACCTTACTCACCATGGTTCTCCTGTCTTTTCCTCCCCTCTCCTTCCCAGTGTTTCCTTCAGGCACGGTGCTGCTCCGCTGCTTCTGCCCTCTCCTCCTTTCCCTGACCACACACGTGTTGTTCACTCCATGCTTATAGTCTTTAGCTGCTTGATCTTTTTTGGCATCCACAATTCCTCCTGCCAGGCCAGCCCCCACCTCCTGCTCTCCTTACTTTGGCTGTCTTCCCCTGGCTGCTATAAGTTCTCTGACCATAAGTTCACCATTTCTTGGCTGCTTTTTCCCCTGCCCCACACAATGCTACTTCTCTGCCCTTTTCTGCACTGCATGTGCTTCCTGGCTACTTTGCAACAACCTTCAGCCATGCAGTTCTTCCATCCTGACCTTGGTGTGTCGAGGAAGAGGGGGGCAGCCGGGCATACCCCACCCACCTGTTACTGCTCACAGGTGCTAAATCCAGAAACACAGCAGTGGAACGGCTCTGAGGGGCTCCCAGCGGCTGCTTGCAGACAAGCTGGAGGCTGAGGTCTCGAGCTATTGTGATGGTGCGTCCCAGGCCGACTTCACTGCTGTGTTTCCGTGTTGGGTGCAGCCCAGGGGAAGCATGCAGGGAGGACATCCTCAGGAGCATCTTCCCCTGCCAGGATTGCGGGGTAGGCATGCTCTTTCTCGTCCCATACTTCTCTGTACTTTGAGGACTAGTTGTCCTCAATCGTGTATAGAGAGAGCTCCATCATCCTTTGTCCTCTCTTCTTGTAGAGAACTTTCCTGTTCGCTACCCAGTGCCCTGCTGCTTGCCTTCAGTTTAATGCGGTTGACCACCAAGCTGTGCAGAGGAGTGGTGGTGTGGAGACCGTACAGGACCTTTTTGCCTGACCCCATTCCCAATAATGTCCTATTTTTCAGTAGCTTCAGTGATGGTGCTGTTGTTTCTTCTTCTGCTAATTTGCTTCTGTACTTGGTTGATCTTAGCTTACTCCTGAAAGGCAAAGTTACCTGTCTCTTCCCTGCGTGTTGTGTATCTAATGACAATACCCTCAGATCAAGGAGGAGTATATCTGGGTCTCTGCTTCACCTGGTTTTATTCATCATTCTCATGTCTAGTCCTGATCATCCCTTACCTTTCACAAGCACAAAAAAATTCTTTTTACTCAAAGCTAAATGGACAATATTTTATTAAGTCATTCTGTTTCGCTAGAACTTGCTTGGTACTAACACTGTATATCTGCATTAAAGTGAGACAGCATTCATGATGGTGAAAGTAAGGACGCAGCTCAACTTTGCTTGTAAACCTTTGTTCGTTCACTCAGCTTGGTCAAAATGCTCCTTCTGGGTTGGCACATCACATACTGGGGCTTCATTCAAAAGTGAATTTTGTTTTGATATTTAAGCCCAAATGTAGTTATGAATTTTGCATTTGAGAGCATTTCAGCTTTCTAAAAATAAAATAATTAAACTGTTTTACGTACAAAGGACTCAAATGCCAACCACAATGTTGGTAGTAGTTTTGCTATGTGAGTGTCCAGTGTTTGCTGTTGTATTAAATGTAGTTACATATTATTGATTTTGTACATACCAGGCAGGAGAAGGAGGCATATATCCGAGCGAAATACGTGGAGAGAAAGTTTGTGGCTAGACACCTGGCATCAGTGTCTCTTCCTGAGGATGGAGCAAGTGCTGTGCCGCAGCACCAGGAGGAGAAAAGGCACAGCAGCTCTGAGAGATCCCCTCAGGCAGACAAACATGGTGCCACGTCTCCTAAAGGTACTGATTCTCCTCTGGCCTTTCACTTGCCAGCACGTCCTTTTTACATGTTACTGGCATTTTTGTAGTTACTGAGCTGCACTCTCAGTACAGAGAAACCAGAATGGTCTCAGCTGTTCAAAGCCTGTTTTAGACCAGGAGGAAATAGTGTTTCTTTTTAAATGTCAAGTGTGTGACTTAGGAGCAGGGGATTTGTAATTCCAAAATGTACTAACAACCTTCTCTCCTCCTTATTTTTGTTGTCCTAAACTTTTCCAATGATGTTCTCTCCTGCCCTCTTCCCTCCTCACTGCCTGCTTTGTGCTTTGCTAACCTGCATGTCCCCAGCGGTTGCTGTAAGTAGCGACGAGGCAAGGCGGGAGTCTCTGTTCTGCCCTGATGAGCTAGATTCGCTCTTCTCCTACTTTGATACCTCTTCAAAACTGCGTAGTAGTAAGTACGACTGTCACAGCGGGTCCAGCGTCTGCACTAGTGGTCCATTGTGTGGTGTGACCATCTCTGTGCCTTTTAATGCATTGTCTCCACGCTCCTGCACTGCTTTGTATTTCATGAAATAATTTAAGCTTTTGACTTATCCTGACCTTGTCTCTCGCTGTGACGACATTTGTGGCATGAATTATTTGTTACAAGCATCTGGACCAAGAACAAATACCGTTTCTTTAAATAATAATTGGTAATGAATTCAGGATTAAGTGTAAGAGCTTGCTTTATTATCATGGTGTCTGTGCAAGGTGGGTGCATCAGTAGGTCATACTGTAATGACTGTTTTTCCTGAAAACAGTAAGAAGCAATGACAGTGGGATCCAGCAGAGTGCTGATGACAGTAGAGAGCACCTCGCGTCCACCATATCCGCTAACAGCTTGTATGAGCCAGGTCAGTTTGGCTTTGCCCTGAGAGAGCTTGGGGTTAAACAATTCCTTTTTCTGATTAAACATGAAAAAAGCAAATTGCCACTACCACATTTACCTGAATCCAAGATGACGTTGAATTTTAAAACAAACCCCCTCCTGTTACATTTTATACATGAAAAAATGTACATTTGTTGTACCTTTCCATATATAGCAGATACATTTAAGATGGCCCTCTAACAAATTGTCCTGCTCCTTCCCGCCCACCCCTCACTGCAGCAGGGAAAGCGGCGACGTCCCCTGCTGCTTGTCACCCCCACCCCTCCCCAGACTCGCTTGGCCCCTCTGCTTCCTGCCGCTTCACCACCTGTGCCCCTTCCTGGCCTCTCACTCGCTCCCTTTGCTTCCTGCCCGCCCAGCACATGGTCACTCCGGCCCCAGCTCTAGCCAAGCAGCAGCAACAGTGGCTCCGGCCCCAGCCAAGCAGCAGCGGGGCAGTAGTACCAGCTCCCTGCCGCCTGCCTTTGGACCCACTGCCCCATCCCTGACTCACGCCACTAGCCCCAGACCCACTGCAGCTGCTGCTGACTCCCCAGCTACTGTCTCCAGGTAGCAGTCATGGCAGCAGCCCCAGCCCAGGGCAAGCTCTGGTTGGAGCTGGAGTTGGAGCCACAGCAGCCACCTACCTTGGACCAGTTCTCAAATCCAAGACGAGGCTCCTCATCCCATCCCATCCTGTCCCCTCCCCCTCCATGTTGAATAGGTTAAAAGAAAAATCCTCACCTTGGATTCAAGTAAATACGGTAGACGGTCCTGGTGCAGAGGAGCCTATCCAGTGCCTCTCCTGTCCCTCCTGTTCCAAGCACTGGTTCAATGTAGGTAGAAAATTGCTGCAATGGAACTGCAAGATGGGAGAGGAGGCAGGGAAAGGCTAAGGGTAGTCTTAGGAAAGCAGCCGAATCCTCCTGAGTCCAGTGGTTAAAGCCAAATTGGATTTTCTAGTCAGAGCACTTAAGGCAATGCTCTGCTTCGACTGTCCTCTGAAGGAAAGCTTCTGGCAGTGAGAAACCTCTCACCTTAACTGTCTTTAAAGAAAATGCAAGGAGGTCTGTCTCGTTAGGGACATCAAAGCCCACAAGAGGTTACTTGCGTCTTCATAGATGGACTTCAAACTAGCTCAAACCATATAATTTACATACTCCTGCAGTTTTTCTCTGTTGGCTCGTTTTATTGCTCTGCTTTCAACTCAGGCATACGGGACGCATTCTTTCTTGAAAACCTGCTCTTTTTACTCAACATCTTATTACCGGGGCTACTGGGAATGTCTTCGTTATCTTGTCTTAAACTTCTGGGCCTGCACAAGTGGGGTCTTCTGCTGTTCATTGCTGTCAGCAGAAGAAAAATATTCACTAAAAAACACAAGCTGTCATAGCTGAGCACTATTCTAGAAGAGCTAGGTAGTTTGTGGGCACGGTTCCCCAGGTGGAAGGTTATGGTCTGGGTCCTTTTGAGTGCATTTGGATACTAAAAGAAATGTACTGAATTTGATGAAATATGCCTTTTTGAAAATGTGTCCCTCTAGCTCAGAAGTGGTCTGTCAAACTTTATCCCTCAAAACCTTGCCAAAAAACTGAAAATGAAGTTAAATTTCAGCTCAAGAGGTGGAACATCCAGAAATCAAGTACCTGAGAAACAGTATCTTCCAATGCAAATGTGATATGGGAACATTATTACTTTGTTGCAAAGCTGCGGACCTTTGAACACTTCCTCAGAATCTTAATTAGAGGTTAAAACATGAAGGGCCAAATTCTTTGCTGAAGTGAATGGATATATATGTATATAGATATCTACATAGATGTGGCCTGATTTTCATGAACTAATACAAGTCTGGGTGCCTAAACTTTCATTTTTGCAAACAGTGACCTGAGCAGCTTGCCTGTGACGACAGCTTGAGGCAAACCTGGCTTTGATTGCTTTCACAGGAAAATAAAGCCCAAGCGAGAAGGTGGACCTTGGACCCAAATGCTACAAGCCTGTTATCTTTAATGGGGTAAGGGAGGGCAAGCCACACTGACCAGGCATTTACTCGGTCCAACATGCTGGTGGCAGCCCTGTGCCAAATAACCAGCTGGGACGTGGCCCACCTCTGAGTCGTCTCATCCTCCACACCCAGGGGCATTTGGTCACACATGGAAGGTACTTCAGCAGCCTGCAAAGCCCTGAGGGCTGTTCCCTTCCATCAAGGCTGTCCGGTTTCACCAGCTGTCTCTGGGAGCTCTTACTCTTGCCTTCCTGTGCGGGGCTGACCCTTTGAGCTCCTCCCCCATGCTTGGCCCTCACCACCAGTCTGAGTGGAAGTACGAAGTGCATGGATTGAATGCACAGCTCTTGCTTTCTCCTTATCACTTGTCTAACTGAAACCCAGCCAGCTGAAACCCACTGCAGCATTGCCTAGAAGAATCTGGCTCCCCGATGCCCCAGAGCCAGTGACTTGGTCTGTGACTGGCTTGCAGCAAGTGGAGGACACAGTTCAGCGCTTCCTTCCAGGCGGGACAGCCAGTGCAGCCCACTGGTGGGTGGCTGTGAGCCTGCAGTGGGTGTGGAAAGTGCACCACGGTGTTTTCTTCTTCCCCATCCTCACTGTGGTCTCTCTGAGGGCTCTGGGCAGGTTCTCTGGAGCAGCTGAGCCTGCCTGTCCTTTACCCCTCTTCCCTGGACCCCAGGGGTTGTCTGGCATGAATGTCTGCTGGAATGGGGGGCTTCCAGGTCATGCATCTTAGCATGGTTCTCCAGCCGATCGCAGCAGTTCAGGCTGGGAACCTTTTCTGCCATGAAGACTCAGTAGATCCTTTGCCCTGGAAGGGCACAGTCTCAAGGACCTTTTCTTACTGCTAACATTGCTGTGACAATGCTTCATTTGGGAAATGTGCACAAGCAGTTATTTATTTGTTCCTTTGATCTCCAAAGGTTCAGGTTACCGTCCATCCTGGTTTAATGGATGTGTTGAGAGCCTGGTGTTTGTCTGCCTCTGTTAGACACAGCTGTGCCTCACAGGTCTGCTGCGGTGCATGGCTTCTGTCCTGGGATCAAATGAGAAGCCCCCTTTGGCTGTTTGGTGTTGGCCTTGCTGTATATTCTGGTCTCACATGACATGTTTGCTGCTGTTTTCCTGCAGTTCTTTGGTCTGTTCATTGCTACCTTGGTTTGCTTTTATTTAAAGCTTTGGTAGGTGTCCATGACTGCTGCAGTGAGGCTTTGAGGCACTCTCTGTGGCGTTCCTTTACTGTTCTGCCCTGTGTTTTTCAAACTTCCTCTCCTGCTCTGGTGCTCTTGTTTTGCTTGGAACGATCCTGCAGCTTGGCTGTATTACTCAGGTAACCATCTCAAGTGCCTCTGCTGTACTGGTATGTGGGGTCTCTTATGGCCTGGTCTTGGAATAAATGTCCTGTTTTGCAGCTGGCTTCTCTAATGGTACATGTGATTTCAACACCAAGCCTGTACGTGCAGCCTCTGGAAGGAGCCGCTGGGGGAGCAGAGCCATGTCTAGTCTCCCCTGGGCCATGGCTCTGTTGTAGCATGGTGGTGAGAGGCCCAGAAGCAGCATCCATCATCCTCACAGCTGTCCGTAGTCTCATGAGTCAGAGCTGAAGGGCTGCATCCAGGTGTCAACTGAGTCCCCATTTGGCCCCTGAACCCCATCAAGGCTGTCTCTCCTCCCCTGTGCCTCTCCTACCCCTGTGACAGCGTCACAGGACTTCATCGGCCTTGTACACGCTTGTTCATCAGGTGCGGTACCCGTGGGCCAGAATCGGAGCCAGGTCCATAGGAGTGTGGCTGTGCCACAGCATCTGCAGTCCTTTGCATTTGTTCTTTTTCTTTGTTCTTTAACATGCCTTCACATTTTCTTCAACCCCACTGAAGAGATTGCTGCCTGACCACGCTCCAGCCCTCTTCTGCAGGCTTGCAGCTTGTGCTGTGTGAGGCTGTCAGGCGGTGGTCCTCAGTGGTTTCTAGCTGCCTCTTGCCTCTGTGTAGTGGATGTGCAGGGCAGGCATGTGCAGTTCCCTGTGTGTGTTTTGTAAAGCGTTAGTGCTTGGGCTCCCTGTCATGGCACAAACTCAGGTTTGGCTCTTCGCCCAAGAACCATTTCCTGGGCTGAGAGTAGCCAAACACTGCGTGTCCATGTGCCCGTTGATACGTTCGCAGAGCGACGTTGCCTTTCTGTGCTGAAAACTGTACGTTGCTCTTTGTAACTGCTTCGTATTGAACTTAACTAAGGGGTTACTTTAACTCCTCTTTCCATTGGATTCTTTTTGTAGCAGGTTTCTGTGTATTGCTGCATAAGAAATCATAGAGCTATTAAGGTATCTTTCTAGCTTGTACCTTGGAGGGAAAATCACATTACCTGGCTGCAGTTCTTGTTCTCTAAAGTCATATGGGGTAGCTGGATTGATTAATGGTGTTTGCAGTTGCCAGTAACGTGGATACTGATATCTTTGTGGTGGTTATTCATGGTATTGAAAGAGTGGCTGTTACCAGCTAGTGGAACGCAGCGCTGGGCCGATGTCCCTTATGCCGGGCTTTTGGTGGCTCAGACCCCCGAGTCCTGCGAAGGCCGATTTGCTGCATGCCATAGGTGCAGCATGTCACGTGGATGTATTTGTCTGCCTGGTCTCAGGTGACTGTATCAGTGTCAATATTTACAGGTAAGTGTCTGTCTGTCTGTGTCTTTCAGAAGGAGAAAAGCAAGAGGCTTCTGTGCTCTGCGATTCTAAGCAGCTGCCTCCTGGATTGCAGCTTTATCGTGCTGCCTACAAGAAGAACCTTCCTGACATGGCAGAGGCGTTGGCCCATGGGGCCGAAGTAAACTGGGTCAATATAGCAGAAAACAAAAGCACCCCGTTGATTCAGGCAGTGCTAGGGGTAAGTGATGCACGGCATGGATGTTTCTGGGTCTCTGTTAACAGCGAATCACTTGCCTTGCTAGCTTGTGATAGTGTTTGATCTGTGGTGCCAAAGTGGGCTTGTGCTGTCTCTCTTCTTCAAAGTCGCTTCTGAACATTGGTTTCCGTTAATGGCCTGGTCGGGACTCTCTGTACCCTGTTAGTGCTTAAATAGATAACATTTGGAGCCACGTCCTCCTTTCGTTCCTCGCCATATGAGGTGATGTGATTCACGTGCTTCTAGATTTGTCTCTTCTTCGAAAGGCTTGGTGCTGAATTGGCCTTCTGTTGTCACTCCTCAGGGCTCATTAGTTACCTGTGAGTTCTTGCTGCAGAATGGTGCCAACGTGAACCACAGGGACGTGAAAGGAAGAGGACCGCTGCATCATGCCACGGTCTTGGGACACACTGGGTAATGCTCTCTTGCAGTACTTGTAAAACAGCCATCCTTTTCTGAAGAGATGTGTCTTGCAGTTGCTTGGTATTTGCTTAGACTTTGAATCCCTGCACCGCTTCTCCCCAGGACATCCTGCTGGTTTTCACACTTTCAGGATGAACCGTGGCTACACACTAGTAGTCCGATTCATTACCGTACTGGAAACAGCCGACCATGTCCCTTCCCTAAGAGGTAGCATTCAGCACTGTTCTGGCATCACACCCTTCCATCACCTGCTGCTGACAGTGCGGGAAGCAAGAAGCTGACAGAACTGCTGCAGAGGCGGCTAGGATTGTGCCTTGTTCGCTTTGTCCACACGTGCTGCCTGCCAGTGCGCCTCTGCATTGTGTTTCCAAAGCTCTTACACAGTAGGGCCCTGATACATGTTTGAAGCCCCTATGTGCTCCCTCTGCGATCAAGACCATAAGCCATAATCTGATGTGCAGCACCAGTGCTGCTTGCCTGGGTGTATTTTTCTCAGGAATAGAGACCCCCCTGCTCTCCCATTCTTTGCCAAAGTGTCTTCTTGGCCTGGGAGAGTTTTGGAGGAAGAAGAAAATGTGTCCGGAGCCATCCCTCATGGAGGTGAAGTGCTCGCAGAGGCAGGTGACCAAGCAGGATTTCAGAATATTAATTCTTCAGTGGGTGCAAGCAGACGGCTGATGCTGTAGGCTTTTAGGCATGCTAGTAGTCTCTGGTTTTATGCTGCTTCATAGCTGTTGTCAAGCAGCTTATTAGAGATGGGTGGAGGTCTCTTTCTTGGTCCTGCCAAGTGCAGTGGTGAAGGGGAGGGGAGGGGAGGGGGGCCCATTGCAGCAGTTTCCAGCTCTTTGATTCAACTGCGATTCCACCCTGCGGCTAAGCGCTGATATCCTTCACTGCTAAAACTTTAGGATCGCTTCAGGGGAGTTAGTAAAGCTGACGGATTTAAACCGAGTCGCTCAGGTTGGCAGGAAAGGGCTCGAGATGGTTCAAAACAACTGAAATAATTTGAACAAGTGTAGTGAGTCCATTCAATCTACAAAGTCTCTCTTGTTCCTGGTGAAAAGTGTGCTATAATGCTGTTTCTTTACTAGGCAAGTGTGTTTATTTCTGAAACGAGGCGCAAACCAGCATGCCACAGACGAGGAAGGGAAAGACCCCTTGAGTATAGCTGTAGAGGCGGCAAATGCAGATATAGTAACATTGTAAGTATTTTTTTAGATTCTAATTTTTTCCCCTAGGCTTATACTATGATGATAACACACAAGAAACATTGGGTGGGTTTTCTATAAAAATGGGCAAAAGCTAAAGACATTGTGAAGAGAGAGTGCAGTGTCCATTGGATAGACTGAAATAAGTCCCATGCCTCTTTCACTGGTGAAAGTCAGAAATGTGTTTAAATATTTTTTCCCTATGATGTTTATCAGTATAGTCCAATAACTTTCTCATCTTTTTTAAACCATAGGTTACGTTTAGCAAAAATGAATGAAGAAATGCGTGAATCGGAAGGACTTTGTGGACAGCCAGGTCAATACTCCACTAATAACCATACTGAGATGCAGTATAAGAAATGCATTCAGGAATTTATCAGTTTACAATTAGAAGATTCATAATTTTTGAGCAAAACTGAATTAGCTTGGTACTGTAATGTTTTATAGGCAACATCTATGTGTTAACATTTGATTGGAGTTGACTGCTGCGTACTCTCCCCCATCTCTTACTTGTAGGCTGAAGAGGAGGAGGGTGTTTGACACTTACCGTGGTAGTGGTGCATGTTAGCACAGCTGTAGCCAGTCCTTGCTGCTGCCCACCGTGGCACCGGTGGAGGCACAGCCCTCAGTGGTTGACAGTCCATTGAGACCCACGTGACATTAGGCTGCACCTGATGGACTCCACAGCTGCTGTCTCCCTGGATTGTTCACCCAACATTGAGGAGTTAATCTTACTATTTAGAATCGATGTCTATTCTCTCCATTATAACCCCTTTTCCTGAGGCCCATACAAAGTATTCATGTGAAATCACTGCGCT